GGGCTGCTCGCGGGAGGAGCTGCGCAGCTTGCTCGCGTAGCGCTGCGGGGCTGGCAGGGCGGAGTGAATTCCAGAAAACCCGAACTCGCTCAAAATCCGGGAACTCAGAAATAGTTGTCGAGGCGAAGGTGAGCAGCTTGGTTTCCTTTCTTACCTAGGTGACGGGCAAGCAAATTTCGCGATCTCGCTTACCCAGTAGATAGTTGCGGGGCCGTTGCACTTCCTACGCTTTTTTGCTCGCCCCCCTACGAGGGGTATGCCGGAGTGCTTTATCTTTGCAAGATTCGTTTCCTGCACACACAAATTTACAGCCAAAAGAATAGTTGTAGTTTGGAAAAGCGCAGGCAGCCTGAAGGAGAATGCCGTCAAGGTCTCGTCCTAACGACTGAGGCTTATAGACATTACTGTATTGCAGGGATTCAGGTATCCTTGAGGAATTTAGTTGAGTGAATGTTAATAAAAAGACGATCAAGTATCAAGACTAAAGGTGTTTTGACAGCTCATCTTTTGTGTAAGATTTCTGTAAGTTTTTCTCCTTTAAAAGCTCTAAAGGGTATAGCTCTGTCCTAGATGTGCAGTAACTTTGCACTATGTAATATATATGTTTCATTCCTCTCTATATTTAAGATATATTTTACTGCCTGTGCTGCATTTTATTTCAGTACAGTACTGCAATTTGAATGCCGTTATGGTTCTCACAGTTATTGTGGCACTGAGGAATTCTGCAGGTATCACTTGCTGCAGTATCCTTGTAGCTAAGAATCTTTTATAATTCCTTTCAAACGTATATTTAGTAAGCTTATAGACTCATACAGGCATGAGTATGGATTTTTAAAGGCTACTGTTATTCCATTTTGATTCTTTTAATATTAAAAACCCTGACTTCCTAATGGCTGCTCTAGTGTTCTGTTTCACTCTGAGTATCTAAATATATTTTTGACTCTCTCTCTTTTTTTTTTTTTTTGTATGTGTTCACCTGAACGTCAGTCTCTTCAATGACGGTAACGTGCTAATTAAAAATAAGGAAGGTTGCGGGGGAAGAAGGAACGTTTTTCCTGAAGTCTTTAAGATGCTTTTAGCTCTTGGCAAGCATATTTACAAGTTTTTTGTTAATATTGTCCATGTTAGTCTCCATATGTGTAGTATTTCTAATAACTAAATATAGAAAACTGACCTCTTTGTTTCTTAAAGCTATCGTGACATACTTGATTAGATCAGAAATTTGGCACATTTAAGTTGCATGCAGTAACTAGTGAAGAGTACTAGTCATTTCATTGACTTGACACTTTAAAGCCGAAAAAGTCATCGTTTGTATGATTATGGTGAATTGTGTTGTTTGCAACTGTTTTCCAGCCTTAATTTGCACCTTTGACTGTAAATTGCAGCCTTGCCACATCTGACGTTATTGGACCGAATTGTGTTCTACATCATGCATAAGCAAATGTTTTTTATGTCCTTATATTTGTAGAATTGTAATACCCTATTTTTCTCTGTGCAGCAAGATTGAAATATGTGAGAGATCCAGACTCTTACCTGTAGGAGTTTTAATCTGTCCTTGCAAAATGGATATAAATACATTAATGCAACTACAGTTAGTAACATGAGGAATCAAGTTGTGGTGAACTGGGCATGCAACGTGGGTATTGCTAAAGGCTCATTTCTTATGTGCCTTTTAGTCAGATATAAAATAGTTACCTTTTCACTGTCCAATAGTTTTAATTGTTCTGCAGGGTAGTCACGAGCTCTGAGCACAGACTTCAACAATATGTTTTCTGGATTGAGAGTTGTAGCTTTGATTTACATTTATTTATTTATTGCAATCCTGAGATATTGCATCAGGCAGATTTTACCTTTTTTCCAATTACAGCACGTCAAATCCAATAACTTTCTCCATGTTCCAAGCACTAGTGATAACATCTGTCTCAAACAGATCCAAAATTTCCCTTTTTTATGTAGTGAAATAGGGAGAACAGTTGGTGACTTTTGTCCAAGGTTGTGTTTAAAAAAAAAAAAAAAACCAACCAAACAAAAAACCCCAAGCAGTACATCTGGAGTTGAAATTTGGGGTTCTCCAGCTTAATCTCCCTCAAGAGGGGCAAAATGAGGCTAGAATTATCTGCTGTATATTTACTGAAGCCTGACGACGCCCTCTTACGTAGAACTGAATATGCTGCAAGTGACTGAGTAAGACCTCTTGGAAGTAGCCCAAGGTGCTGTTGCTACAACTTTTGATCTGTGCTATCCATAGGCATCTATGTTTAACTGTAATTGGACCTGCTGTGTAGGAAGACTGAGGAAGCAAGCCAAAAATTTGCACAGGTAGCGTGTGCGATGCTAACTTAATTTTTATTTGACATGCCATTTATATAAGTTACACCACTTGAGGCACATAGTGACCTTTCCAGGTATTGTGAAGCCAGGCTAAGGATGAAATTATTATGGATTTGTGTTCAGGATTAAAAGACAACCATCTTTATTGAGAATATTATTTGCTTTGAAGGCCCATTTTGTTTTTCAGGGTTTGCTTACTACAACAAAGAATCTGTATTCAATCATCTAATAAACATGAGTGCAAATAGGTCCAGTCCAAACCATGAATGTTGTTATATTCCGGTTACAGTAACTTACTGGAGCTAATTTAGGCAGGTGGAGCAGGGAAAAGAGGTTCTTCAGTACATTAGGATTGTGAGAAGTAAATGTTTGTCTGGCTTCTCCAAAGTAAATTTGATGTAGTAGAGACAAGGGGAGTTACTTGCTTCTTTCCCTTGTTTCAGTTTTCACTGTTATCAGCTGTCCCCTTCTACAGGTAGAAGGAATGAGACTAGTTGAATTGGACTCTGCCCAAGTTGTTGCTGTGTGCTCTCCTTTCTCTTCAGCTGTAATACTTCTAGAGATCTACACTGTGTTAGCTAGTGTTCTTGTATTAAAATCGTAGGTATATGGTGTATAAAAGGGTGGCCTATGTGAAACCTGATTTCTTTAGAACCCAGTTGCTCAACAGCTTTTGGTCAGCTGTGTCTGCTTACGGATGGATTAGCAGTCCCTGGCTCTCCTCAACCTGTATTTCCATTGCCTTGGATTCTGAATATCCCGTTTCCTGTGTGTCAACTGCCTGTCTGCTAACAAGTGAGTGGGACTCTCTCTTTCATCATACAGCAGCTGAGAACAAGTTGACTTTCTGGCCTTTTTCAGAAATTGTGCAATGTACAGTGATATGTTGAGTAATTATCAGGTATTTTTGGAGAAGGCTGAGGAAGTTATGAAAAGCATACTAAAGATGACACTTGCCCTAAAGTAAGAGGGAATATAGTAATGTATAGGGCAAATAATAGTACTGTCTGTTATGTCTTGCTCTGTTTTCTACAGGTTCCTCCTGTAATCAGAATCATACTCAAGTGGAGACTTTCAGCAACTGGTTTTACTTGTGACCCAGTCCTAGAGTAGATCTTTCTAGGTGGATGATTAGTGTGTAGGGCACATGCCTGTCCTGTAGTGGTAGGAGAGTATGATCCTGCTGATTCTTCAAGTATGCTTGCATGGAGACTATCTCGTCTCCTCTATTGACTGATCTTCTCTATCCTCACTTACAATACTCAAAGAATTGGAGTGAACAAGGTAGCTGATTTACATTGATGTCAGGATAATCAGAGGATTTTAAGGCAATTTGGCTCCGAACTGCAGCCACAAAGGCAGCAGGTGAGTACCTAGCTTCCTAATCTAGTTTTAAACATTCTTGGCAGGGATTAACTAGTAAGTGCCCAGAAGAAGGGTCTGTGGTTATGCGATGGTATCATCCTCAGGCCTTAATCATGAAAAAACTTTTTAAAAATTGTTTAAAATAACTTGATTAAACTTTAGAAACCTTTTGTAATGCAATTTGGGCCTAGATTACGTGGAAAGGAGTGAGAAAAGGCTGCCATGTGTCACTGCACATATTTATCCATTGCATGTAGCTTTTCTGAGACCACCTAAAGTATTTTAGTGTAGGGCTTTCAATAAATTCTTCATTTGTGGGTACTGTAAATCTGAGTATGTTTTCCTAGTGGCAGGGTTCTGTTATTATCCTGTCCTCGCCTCTCCACAGGCAAGGGTCAGCCTGAAATTTGACGTTCTTGCAGCCTCCCCCAGGAAACAATGAAAATATTGTTTACTTTTTGACAGCCACCATGGAGGGAGTGAACAGTGTAGCTGTTTGATAGCCTTGAAATTTTGCCAGAAGGATGCATGACTTCTGTTCTTTTTTTAAGATTCATTGCTGTTAGCAAGACATATGCAGCTTTCTTTAATGCTTCTTAGCCATCGAGGTCTGCAGAGGAGTATGTTTTCTGTTCTCTTTAATGTATTCATTTGTGCCTTCCTCTATTCCAGACTTGGATACTGTAGTAACTTGAAAGCTTTAACTAGTGGCAAATGTTTCCGAACAACACTACTCTCAGTGCTGCCATGTTTTACGTTACCTATGTGCTCTTTCACTACTGCTCAAGTGTGATTTAAGAGGTATTTATTTTGTAACCTGGTTTTCTAAAGTTCCTTCTCCTTTCTGCCCGTCGTGGAAGTTGAGGCCAGGGGGTTACTTGTTCTTACTTACAGAAAAAGCTATAACCAGAGGCAGAGATTTATCACCTGACAGTGTCTATTAAATTCACCTGTACTGCCCTTCTGCCAAAACCTGGCAGCTCTCAAGAAGCTGCAGTTTGCTCTTCTGAGGGTGTGGATGAAAAGGCTTCTCTGTTCTTTGTCATTTTTTCATGTAGTTACCAAAACATCAGTGGTTTTATCTACTACTAAAGCTGCAGCTGTGTTCCTGACCTACATCATGGCAAAGATTTAGGAATTAAAGCAAATGTATATCTTTTTCTAGTTAGACCTGTAGTTCAGATTAAATAAGCTCTTGAGAGCTAATATGCTAAAGGCAAACAGAAGTTGGAAGCAAGCTCTGATCCTCCGGGTCTTAATGGCAAACTGCTAATGTGTTTCTTCCAAGTCTGCAAACTCAGTGTAGTGTTGGTGACCCAGGCACAACTGGGTCAGGAGGTGCCTCAAGGGGAAAAAAAATAATCGCAGCTAGTGGTCTTCCAGGCAGCTTAAGAAAAGCAATAAGAATACTGCAGTTTCAACTTTTCAGGTGATTTGTTCATTTTCTCCCCAGTAAGACGAATACATGCATCTTGAATCAATTTGAGTGGTACTTCCTCCTTTTGTTTCCCCTATAACTTTAAACTGAAGAATGAGCTTCATTTCACATCTATTCAGTGCTGTTCTGTGGACTACGGCTTTTAAGCCATACTGCTCCTGTAGTGGTCTTTAAAACTAGGACACCAAGAATCAAAAATGAAAGGGTTGAAAGAAGTACAGCCTATATTGTGGAACGAATGCAAGCGTGGTAGGAACCTGTTACCAATGCATATCAGTCTACAAAAGGCAAAGGACATTGAATGATACTAATTAAGGAACATCTAATCCATTTTAAAGCTCCACTTGTTTTTATGTGATGAGCAGGAAGACAAATAAACACCAGGACTTGTGCTCAATTCTAGCTGTACCTGAAGTGACTGAAGATTGACATAAGCGCTTAGTAAGGTCTAAGCCCAGTAAAACACTTACTGAAAGCTGCACCCATGGACTTTTCTTTTTGTGGGCCTCCTACGATGGGGAAGAGTGAAGTTACAGTTTAGATCTTAGACTTAGTGTGTGGGAATGGGTGAAGAATGGTCTTACCCAGTTGTATACAAGCATGTGATTAAAATGGAAACTGTGGTTTATTGTAATAAGGCTTCTGACAGTGGCTTACCAAAGTAAAAGAAAACCCCCTTCAAAGCTCTAGGTCTGTGCAACTGGTTTAGATGAACTGTATTATAGTCAAATAAAAGGAAAAAAATGGCCCGACCCTATGATTCCCTAATCGGCGAAGCAGGGAAGAATCAAATTAAGGCAGATGCAGGCATAACTAAAAGTAATTGAATATGTTGCAGTATGGCTGTTTTGTCACTTAGCTGTGATTACGGTGGTTTCAAACACACCTTTTTATTTACAGTCCATAAAAAGACCATGCAGGTCTTTTTTAACAATGCATAATTTAAAATTAAGTGGGAGGAATAACAACATAAAGTTTGAATCAGGGAGATGATCTGGCTTTTGAGAAGAGGAAAAATAATCGACTGACTAAGAGTAGTTGGGTATCAAGAACAAATCTTTTCACTGGATTCCAGGGGCTTTGGCCGCCTTGCCAACACAAATATGGGTGTCTCTGTAATAGCAGAATTACATCAGATTAGTTTGTGCTTTTTGGAAATTTATGGTATGAAATACGCAGTTCACTTTTATACTTCCCTATTTTAAGAAAATAGGAGTCAAATGTTGAACTGGGCGCTCCTTTTTCCTCTGGGTGTTTTTAAGAAACATGAGGTCTCCTCTCTTTTTAAAAAGTTTTCTCATGTTTATAAATTGGTCAACTACATAGCGTGCTAAAATCTGAGCTGCGTTCGCTAAAAGACTTCAAATGGCGATGCAGGCTTGAACAGGATTTTTTAGGTATGTAGCATGAATTTCTGGTGCTCTTAGGCAGTTCTGAAGTTCCTTGTATTTGCAGCGTGGTCCAGTGAGACGTTCGGTTTACGTGCTCAAGGCAGGTTTGCAGAATACTGTCCCTCAGAGAGTGAAAGGACATGTAGTTAGTACAGAGTTCTCTCTGCCGTTCTGATGGCTTCATCCTCTTTCCTGGCTTTCGCCCTCCTTCTCCTGTTCTCGCAAGTTCCACGGGGAAGCTGACTGGCCTACTGGAGGGAACGGGCGACCTTCCTGTGCGCTGCGCTCTCAAACGCAAAGCATGCCAAGGGGTGGCAGCGGAGAGTGTGGGCACAGGCCCTCTGTCAGCTACAGCAATCATCAGCGTTGCTCTAAAAATAGATTGTAAGTGTTCGGACAAACACGTGACGCTACCTGTGTCCCTCTCTAAAATTCACATGAAGGTTTTTTTTTCTCATGTCTTCTTTCATCTCTGATGTCATGATTAAATATGCTCAGCATGTTCTGACAAATCTGAAATGCCCTCTAGGACAGACTCACGCAATTGAAAAACCTTTGCTTTTAAAATAAACTGTTCTGAATGTACATGTTAGTAGCTTTTCTCAGATACCCAGATGTTGTCAGCTTTTCTCAGATACCCAGATGTTGTCTTTAATTGTTGCTCAATGCTTCATGCTTCAGTGTATTCTCTGTAGCGGACCTCAAATCTGTTTCCAATATGTCTACACAACACAATGCTTTTTGGGTGCGCTTGTGTCCTCAGAGAACTTCAGTGGTTTTAGAGAAAGGACAGAGGATCACACGCATGAAATACTTTGCAAGGCCATGACATTTATAACTGTATATATGCATAGTACACTGCATTTCCTGTCAGGAAAGGTTCTCGTCTTGCAGGTTTTAGCACCGTGAGTTAAGTATTGTTGTACTTAATTTTCCTTTTATGTTCATTTTAAGATTACATGATGGAATTAACGTTTTTTCAAGAAAAGTTGCACATATTGGATCAGTACCGTTGAAGCTGTCGTCTGTTTGTGGCACCCTAAGCAAGGTCTTGTGACAAATTTGTCAGAAGAATACATAAAATGGATCTCAAAGAAAGCTGCCCAAGTGTTAGCATTCCCAGCTCTGATGAGCACAGGGAGAAGAAAAAAAGATTTACTGTAAGTATATAAGACTATAAGCATTGTAAGCATTAATAGCCTATGCATTTCCTTGAAATGTTACTTGATTTTGCTAGTAAGCTTACTAATATTTTCTACAGGTTATCGAAATTCATTCTCTTGGTCTTGTGAATACTTGCCATAGTACACACCAGGCTTTGCAATATGAGAAGCTGTGAATGTTTTACAGCATTTACCTGTATTTTCTTCAGGAAGCATTTGACTTTACAAATTTCTGATACTTTTTCCTCCAAATCCTAACATTTTCTCATATTAGGTACGTCAGCATCTTAAATGTGTGGATAACATACTGGTAAAAAAGCAGATTAGAATTTGGAATCCTACTTGTTTTTACATGACAAGTCTTGTAAAGGAATAGCGTGTATATTTTAAAAGGCCAAGGCAGTTTTCTCGTAGTTATCTTACGCTTTTGTTATTTTTGTGTAAAAAGATCTTAACAGATCACCTTTTTGAAAGACCTTTTTTTCCCCCTCTTCCTTCCCATTTTCTGATTCTAATACCTGTGAGGTTTTGTTTGTTCGTTTGTTTTCCTCTCTTGTTCCCGTTTCCACTCCTGTTGTCCTCCTCCCTCTCTTCCTTTTTTGACCAGCCTGTTTGACTTGCTTTCTGGAAGCCAAGTCTTTACTCCCATTCTATGGGGAAACTCTTTGCTTTGCAGACTGAAAAACATAGTAGTACGGGGTAGATTTTGTTTTGCTTGTATGTCTACTAGGATATAAAGACATCATAATATTTCCTTTAAAAAGTTTGATCTGTTTCATTGCTCTTGTGCAACTTCCTCCAAGCTTGTTCTATTTTTACTTTTTTTGTGTGTGTGAATTAGTCACTCTTCAAAAGTGGAATGTAAGCACCCTTTGACTCAGTTGCTGCCTGAAGACTATTACAAAACAAAAATGTACTTTTGAGTTATTTATCTGTCTTTCCTCCTCCCCTCTCAAGACTGCAATTTGATTAGCCTAAATAGTCGAGTCCATCAAGATGTAATATGGGGCAGGAGTATGCTGGTAAAGGGAATAAACAAAAGAGAATTTACTTAATATTTTAACTTGCTGTATGTGTGTGAAACTCGGAGTAAGCGAGCAGGAAAAAACTTCATAGAAGTCTGAACTTCTTTAGCAGAACAGGTTTGTTTTACTGTCTCAGTGCTGGCAGTCTCACTGTTACAATGTGCCGGTCTGGTACATCTGTGGCAGGTGGTAGTATTCTGATTTCTGGGTCGTTTTAACTGAAGAAGATCTGTGTGACAACTTTTGCAGCTCAGAGGCGCTTTCTCTGGGCATGCCTTCTAGAAAGCTGTACCAGCAATGGTAGGAACCTTCAGAATTTGGGGAGAGAGAAAGAAAGAGAGAACCCAGCCCAGCCTGTCCTGGCCTCACCTGCTTGTTGCGTCAAGGAATAGTTAGCAGCTTGACAAGAACTATTTTTCACAACCAAACTTTTGAGTTTTATCATGTATATTTTAGGATTTAATAACAGAAGTGAGGGTTGTTGCTAAACGTTGTGGTAGGACCTGTGAATACTAGAGTGCGTCTGTCAGTGGCTTTTACTTTTCAGCAGAAGCACAGAAGAGAGAATGGCTGGAGCCCATCAGTACCGCTTTGGGGAGGCGGGTGGACAATGACAGCAGACGGACTCTCAGTTCTTAACAGGTCTACAGTAGGCATAACTGTCGATTTCTGATGGTGATATTGATGCCATTTCCATAAAGAGCATTAAAAGCGTTAGAGTGAAAGAAAAGGTTAAAGGGACATAGGCTAGGAGAGACTTCAGGTGACCATTTTATATAGTCTTTACCTTAATATCATTTACATTATTTATCACTACTACTTATGTTATGAGGCTATTCTAGAATCTTACTGGTCTGAATAGAAACTATAAATGAATAGTATCAAAACAAAGATGAGTGTATGCCACCCAGCTTTTAATAGCTCTTCTTTCTTCCTCATGTTTACCCTGGGGAAACATTTTGAAAAAGTGATCGTGTCCCTGTACAGTCCTCATTCTGGTAGAGTAAATTCATGGTAACCTGCCTGTTTATTATATCCGCTCTGGTTCACTGTGCTGTCTTTTTCTGAATGTTCAACGTTCACTTTCTTCTTGAAAATAGGCAAAACAGTTGTTTTGGACCATATCTTGGCTATGTTAATTGCTGTTCTGTCCTTGCTGTGTAGCTACTGCAGTTTCTCTTGCCTGGTTTTATCAAATAGCTTTGTTTTGGATTTCTTGTTCTTATCCCTACGCTGTTTGATGTCTGAGGATAAATTTTCTATTCTAAATTGTTCTCTTGTCTCCCCCGCACACCCCAATCAGTTAGAAACTCCTTGTGAAATCTCTTTCAGCGGTTCTATTCCTCCCGTTAGATCTGGAACCTTTGCCTCAAATGTTTTACATTTGTGACCTAGAATACCAAGCCCCTACTGCATGGAAATTACGGAGTTTTTTGATTTTTGTTGACACTTGCTAAATAGTTCCGTAGTTTCTCAATGCTTGCTCTCTCTTGAAATTGAAAAACATTCAGCCTACCTTTTTGCTTACCTTTCCATTTGAATATTTAATCCAGGAGTGTGAGTAACCAGAAGAGAGTTGAAGCCTTTTTTGTTTCAGTGACTTCTTTCATGAAGAAATCTGTCACATTTAGAAATAACTGGGACCTATCCAGTCCAGATCTGGAGAGGTACTTCATCAGAATGGTGATGTTTTCAGGAATTCTGTTTTTACCCCTCAAAGCATTACATTATTTAACCACAGATTATTAGTTGTGGGTGCATCTTCTCTATTCTCTAGGAGTTTTCTAAGACTAGTTTTGGTTTAGGTGTCATTGGATTTGAATAGTTTGTTAGGCTAGTGGGGTGTTTTGTTTGTTTTTCTTGGCTATCTAGAAATGAGCATTGCAACTATCTCTAAATTATTATGTAGGTGTAGCTGATAGTAATAATACAGCCAAAAGATTTGCTAAGTTTGGGGATTTTGTCAAATCCTTTGTAGATGTTATATGCGTTCTTACTGTTCACTGCTTTGCCAGCTGTTGAACTTGTAGATTCTTCTTTGTGGGTGTGCAAGAGCTTGGGTACTGGTGTGAACTGGATGCCCTCTTGCAATCCCTCTGCCTTTATGCACTATCATGTCAAAATATTATCTGTCTACCTATTGTTATGGCAGCTGCTCTCAGAGCAAAGCAGTTTTAATTTTGAGGTTGTTGGGGGATAGGAGGAGGGATATCATCTTGTATCTTAGGTTACCCTGGCCCTGTCTGTTCCGCAGTCTGTGCATCTTGTCTCACTAATTTAAGACCGTGTCCATGGCCTGCTCCTTAAGCTTGTTGGCGTTGTAGTTATGGGGAGTGATAAGCTTTTGTGTTTGAGCATTGTTTGCAGGACTTGACTGATGTACAAGGTACTTGGTTCAGGAGGGCGGTACTTCAGTCTCTCTTTGCAGCTGAAGCTTTTCCTGTGTACAGACTTTAGGTAGGCTCTAGAAGGCACATAGCTTATGTGTTTCTGCTAACACACGCTTAGCAATATAAAGGAAAACCAATTTTCTAAGCCGAGTCTTATCGGCGTCCTACTGCGAGCTTCCATCCAGCCATCCAGCCTCCTCATCCAGTCTTCTCCAGACTGAGAGCAAGTATTTGAGCAGTTAGCATAGCATGAATGCAGATCTCGGGCTAAGGAACTGATGATGGTGGCTGCCACTTCCACTGAGAGGGTGGAGCTGCTGTTGCAGGACAGAAGGGAGGGGAGATTGGAGCATCAGCCCATATTTCTAGATCAGGAATTAGCAGCCTTCTGCTCCCATTTCTTTGTTGCATCTATCCTCTCCCGTGCAGGAATAGCCGGGCTCCTTTTGGAAGCACAAGAAGGTGGGGAAGGGAGATCAGCTAATTGTATACGAAAGAGGGAAGGGTCTTGCTCAGAGGCAGGAGAAGCCTTCAGGACACTCAGGTGTCAATCAGTTTTATGAGACAGGAGTCCCCAGTTTGCCTAGTTTAATATTAGAGTTCTCTTCTGTCATGGGATTTGAACTGTGCGGCAGGTTCCAACTATTTCTCCCTTGAACCCCAACTGGTGTTTTATTTAGTCGGTGCTGCCTCTCAGCCACAGCAGTGGAGATTTGGGGTTTTTGCTGTTATTATTGTTTCCCCTGCCCCGAACAACTGTGTCCGAGTCTCCAGTCGTCTGCTAGGATCCTGACTATAATATATATTCAAGATGTTGCGAGGAACTGTTCTTCTCACGCCTGCCTTCTGAATGTGCTTGTTCTCTTGTGTTTGTTTAGGGCAGTCTTCAGTGTTTAAACGCGTCACGTCCTTCAGTGGATTATCAGGTTGTTAACAAATTTTATAGCAGGACCTGGATTACTTTAGAGCAAGAAGCCGTGTCTTATTCTTGTATCAATGTCTTTGGCATATCAGGAATCTGATGGCTTTCTCCAGGCTTGTGGTATTGACTGTTATCTAATGGCTGCGCATTCCTGTTGGATATGAACTAATTTCATGACATTACGAAAGTTCATGAAATCAGCCTTGCTGGTTTTTTTTTTTTTTTTTACTTTTTTTTTTTTAAAGCACTGGGTTAGCAAACAAGTATTTCTGTATCTTGCAAAAAGATGGGTTCTCTTACTTTTTCTATTAATCATTTGGGTTGATGTTTACATGACTTTGTTGTAAGAAGTATGTAGTTTAGTGAATATGTTTACACAATGAGTTTAACAGTCTGCCCTTATTTTCACCCCAGGATTAAACGTGGTGGGTTTTCTTAAACTTTGCTATTGGCATTAACTTTGTCTTTGTGTTACTGCAGGTTTACAAAGTGTTGGTCTCAGTTGGCAGAAATGAATGGTTCGTCTTTAGACGGTATGCAGAGTTTGATAAACTCTACAATACGGTAAGAAAAAGGGAGGCTAAGGAATCATACCAGAGTAGTACAGAGTAACACTTATTTGCTATGTTTGAGTTAATTCCTTCAATGAGTAGTTTGAGTCAACATTCAACAACTGTAGGAGCCTGTTTAAAAAAAAAAAAAAAATCTTGTCATTTTGTTTAAACTCTGGTTTGTTTGAATTTCGAACTCAAAATCCACTTGGTGGTGGTGGTTTTTTATTGTTGCTCAGGATTGTTGTCTAGTGAGGGAAATTTCCAGTTTCCTGGTTGTCAAAACATCTGAAATGTGTATTTGTTTGTGGTGGGAAAAATTATTCTTCAACTTATTAAGAGAAATTTACCTATCTAGTTATTTTAAGTGTTTTACTTCCAAGGACTGAAAGCAACAAAGGAACAAATCCTTATTCTTTAATATAAAGTTTGTGGAAAGTCAATCATGGCAATTGCTACCTGCCCTTTCCTAGCCAGATTTCATGGCCGTGGTCCTCTCTTTCTTTTTTTTCTTCTTTAAAATAGGCCTCTCCAGCAATTGACTGAATTTCTTTGGTTCATTGCTAGAAGAGGATTTTGCCCTTTTTACAGAGTGGGCAAGCAGAGCTAAAGCGTGCTCTCAGCTGTGGTCTGTATCAATACTTTTCTCCATTTCTTCCTGTTTAGAGCCCACTACTTCTGTTTTAGCAGCAGAAGAAATAATTCTCTGCAATCTGCAGTTAAAAAAATATATATGCTATGAGCTGCTTAGTTGTGTGTCTGTACCCATTCTGTTCCCCCCCGTAAGAAACAGGCATTTCTTCCTTCTGCCTTAATGTATCTCTATGATCTATATGTGACAGCAGTATACGAATGCAAGTGCTATGAGCTTGGAGTTATCTTATAAGGTCTGAGCTGAAGTCATCCAATATACACCATGCCGTGCTTTTATATGAATCTTTGAATAGACTTGAAGGTGATGTGAAAACAAAACCATCCCCTTTTCAAGACCTCCAGAGTGCTAAACAGACATTTTGGTGATCATATTTCCTCTCTGACTTTGTCTTCCCATTAAGATTGACGTTGCTCTGCTGAAACTTGTTCAGCCCTGTTTTTTCTAATGCATGTAGAGGGAAAGGTCCTGGGGAAGCTAACCGCAGAAAGAGAGGACGTTTTGTCCAATTTCTGTTCTTCGTAGTTTGTATAGTGTAGTGTACACCAAGAAGAACTTGCATTGCTAATTGGAGGAGATATTGACATTTCTAAGGAAAGAAGAGCTGCCAGCTACTGTGTAAGAACATTTCCCTCTTAAAGAAGGTGAATGACATTGCTCTTCCTGTGAGCGCCTGAAGATGAAGTGAATGTAATCAAGACTTGGCTCATGACAAATGTTTTTGATAAATTCAGTCCTGTTATATATGACCTTAACCTGATTACCAAATGTAGTATATAATTAAATTGTCAGACGTAACATAATAATCCATAGGTTTTTCATCCGTTTACAGCTTTGACTTAAGGATTAGACCAGCAGTTGCTCCTAAAGCTGGTTTGTGTGGTGGAAAAAAAACCCCAAAGGCCTATATCCCCAGCCCATTTAAAACCTCATGCATGCTTTCCTATACAAGCAAGAAAAAGAAGAAGAAAAAAGAGGGAGAGAGAATTGAGGGAGGAAGAAAATAGAATAAACAAACAGAAATTCTAGCCAATTCTTTTAGCCTGGGGTAAGTGGGAATTCATTTTGGCAGTACTGCCAGATTTTGCCAATTTTTGGCAATACTCACTTTCTCAAGTGAGATAGCCCTTGGATTTAAAAGGTATGTGACTTGCCTAAACAAGCTGAGTACAGGTTGTTTTTTTTGTTGAACGTATGAATAGAGAAGATGGCAGAGAGCAGCAGAATTACTAAGGATCAGATGTTCAAACCTCAGAAATAAGAAGCAATTATTCCTAAATACTTGGATGTCTCTGCACGATCCAACTGTATGTGTCTTATTTTCAGCTGAAGAAGCAATTTCCCACTATGAACCTGAAGATTCCAGCTAAAAGAATATTTGGAGATAATTTTGATCCTGGTAAGTTGTTATCTTTTTATTCCTTCTGTCAGTTTGTTTATGTGGCACTGGACCTATTCCAGCCTAGAAGAAGTCTTCAATCAGTTTTGCAAGCAGTCCCAAAATAATGGCTAAAGCAAAGTTTAGTCATGCTTAGTCACAAGACAGGAGTTAGGATAGGTACTCTACTGTGTGATCTTGAACAACCTGTTCCTTAGTGGCCTGGAAGCTCTCTAGCTGAGCGCAGTAGCTCCTCCCAACCCTTCCATGTTCAGGGTTGTGAGAGATGCTGAACTGGCAGGTGTAATCTCTCTGTGATAAAAGCAAAAACCAAAAACCAGGCTCTTGTAAACATAGGCCTAGTAAATTTTAACCTTGCCTTGTGCGACTTTTCCCCCTGGAAAATGAAATAACTGAAGGACTTATCTTAGAAGGCCTTTGAACTCCCTCTATCTAAATGTGCTTCCTTGTACAGTTGAGATGAAAACGGACCTCTTCCTGTTGTTGTTCCCCATATAGAAGCCACTCTGAAATGAAGGCAGTGTGAGCCAGTTAGTAGTCGTAGGTCCCAATTAAACTTGCTCTGCCCGCATCAAAATACTAACGGAAAGTCACTCTTAAAGTGCATTAAATGAACCTAAGTGGCACCACTGATGAATAAAAAAGGCAAACGGGCAGGCCAGGCCTCTGCTCTATGTATTTATACCCTTCATTCAGACCCTTCCTGTTTGTTGCTGGGAACCTCTGTGCCCTCCTCTGGCTTGCTGTGGTGCTCTGCCTTGTCTGATATCTGTGCTTGTTGTTTCGCCTCCTTCTGCACCTGTTTCAAGCTTTTCATATATTCCTTTGCCTAAATACAAATGGATCCAAAGGTGCTGACCTTCTTGGGATGTATTGGTTTGGGGTTCTATTTATTAAGTATTTTCAGCCATCTTAATTTCTGGCTCTTACACCGTCATTCATCTGGATCCTTACATGAAACTTCCTTTTCATTTTATATTGAAATAATCAAGTGCAAGCATCCAGGCTTACCTTGCTCTAATGTCCTCTTCTGATGAAAGGGTAAAGGATTTCCAAAAGTCCTACGCATATTGCACCTAGAGGGACTTCTTGTTTTGTGTGGTTTCTTTCCTTTTCTCCTACCTTGGGGTTCTCAGAGCTGGCTGAAAACTTAGTAATGGCATGCAGTCCAGTCTCTTATACAGTTAAATATACAGGTGGGTGTCTTGGAGTCAGATTTAGGAAAATGTTGTTTAAATGTGAGAAATAAATTAAAAATGTATTAAAACCGTATTTGTGAAACACACAGTCGTAGTCTTCAGACTTGTTTTGAATTTCCAGGAACTGTCCTGAAATCCTTGAAGCATGAGAAACTAAACCGTTCTCAAGATTTCTCTTGCTGGGGGGCAGGGTGGAGAGGGAGCCATGATGCTCATGTAAATAGTTCTTTAGTTTAACACTTGTTTATTAGAGCTTTGATGTAATGTTTCTGCTGGCTTCTGAAATGACTTACGTATTTTAGAGATTTTGAAAAAGTATTTTTGCTTTTGTCAACTCATGCTTGTATGTGCAACTCCAGCAGACAGAATGGTTCTATCACATTGGAGTCTGAAAGTGTAATAGAGTGAGACTGTAAAATATCCCTTTCGTGAAGTCTACCAAAAATATTATCATCTGTTACAAAATGTCACAAAATCACCTTAACGCTCTTTTGTAGTGTCACTTAGGTTATTTCAAAATTAACCGTGCTTTAAATTTAAAAACAGGGCAGAGGGAAGGAAATCATAGAATCCGGGCAGAATAAACCTAGAAAATTACAGAATACATTTTAGCTGAGGTGACGCAGGTGTTTTAGCTTCAACAACATGGATGGTTTTATAGGTCTGGAGTCACTGATTGCCTTCTACATACACTGTACTGAAATTGCTGATGTTGGTAACTCCCAAAAAAAACTTTATGCACATTTGCCTTCCTAGCTGATATCAGTAATATGAGATATTAAGTACCCCAACAAGGGTTAAGAGATTATATTCCTGAAAAAGCATTAACGTTTTAATATTTGAAATACAACTGTAAAAAAAATTTATTAATTAGCAGTAGCTTACCTATGACAGAGTCTCATTGGAATACCTTAGAAGTTAAAATACACAAGTTAATTTGCATGAGGAAAATGAATGGTTCCTGTTGATGTGAACAATGAAATGCAATATATTTCAGTTTTGCACTTTATTCCCTGTTAGATTTGTTTTTCTGTTTCAAGTCCTGCTTATTTCTTTGCATATTGCTAAAGGAAAGTTAAATGTTTTAAACTCTGGATGAGGGTGGAGATTCTTAGGGTTTTTATTTTTATTTTTAATTCAAGATGATCTCCAAAAAGCATTTTATTTAATTATCTTCAGTGCTTACATCTGAGTGCCTGCTGGCTACATGGATTGTGCAACTTTCCCACTGCCATGCATTTATTACAGAAATATGCTGCTTGGTAGGACTGTTCGTGTAAAAACTTGACTTGTGCCACTGAAGTCAAGTTTTGCCTGCGGCTTCTTTCTGAGCAGAATCGGGGCCCGAAAGGCTCACCTCTGCAATGAGTGCACGGCTTAGTGCGCTGTGGTTGCCCATTGGTCTTGAAGCTCTTTGGTGAACTTTCAGTCCACCTGACTTGCTACATTTCTATTTTAAAGTGGTGTTACAAAGAAACTGAAATGTGATCTCTCACCTCCCTTCAATGCGTTTAAGCTCATGATTTTTTTTATGTAGGACCATTCCTCTTCTGACCTCTCTGTTCTTAACTGATACACGTTTAAGTCCTTTAAAAAAAAAAAAAAAAACCTACCAAATCTGAACATAAGTCTTTTTCATGAGTTGACTGATCGTTCCTAATAAATCTATCTTTTTTCAGATTTTATTAAACAGAGAAGAGCAGGACTGAATGAATTCATTCAAAATTTAGTTAGACAGCCAGAGCTATGCAACCAGTAAGTAGTTTCACTTCCATTTTGTAAGGACTATTTAAATGACGTGGGATGCCAAATACGAAATTGCAAATGAAGTACTTTTAACTAGAAAATACGTTGTACTTGTTCAGTGCTTTTAAGTATAATAAATAATCTTCAATATGGTGTTTTTTTCCTGAAAGAAAAATCTAGACAGACTGATGAACAATAGAAAATGTTTTTGTTTTCTCAGAACTTACCTACAAATCACCTGGCAGACATCTCATGAACTGCTTTTCAGTTCAAGGGGTGCAGGTTCCAGTGTAGGCTCTCTTGCTGTAGGGCAGATGTTTGTTTTGCTGACGGCTGTGGTGTTTGAGATCTTTGCCATCACTTGCTGGTTATGTTGCCCTCCTGGGAGGAAGTAGTGTCCTGCATGGTTCTGTTAGCGTAGTTCATGTGTGCGCTCCAGAATTTGTTTTAAGCATCTCAACCAGGTAGCTTAATCAGCTTGCGCGGGTGGTTTGGGCTAACCAAGCTGACCCGCCTGAGGCGTGTGAAGAAGTTTCCACGTAAACTGTTCTACACGCTGTAGGTCTGTTAACCTTCCTCAGTGGGACAATGATCAGTTAGAAATGGTAATAGTGCCTTAAACAGCTCCAGTTAAATCCAGTTTTGTGTGTGGACTGATTTTAAGTGTAAACAACATTTTGCCTTCAGTTTAAATGTATTCCTAATCAGTTTAAAGTAAAAAAACAAATATATCCGTGCCGCTTTCCATGTTGCTTAAAAATAGTAAAACAGTGAAGCTCTACGTTTGGCTTTAGCGTTGAGAAAATTGCTTCAGCACATATGCTCTGTTTAATTTGTCCATCTGCACAGCCTGTGAAACTGTTCATTTCCCATAGAAAGCAAAACAATTTCCAACAGGGAATACTGCTGCAGTGTGCAGTCAGATGTTTTTTTCCAACAAGTGAACTATTTAATGTCCTATTAACCTAAAACACGTACTTCCTTTTTTCTCCCCCCCCCCCTTTTTTTTGGTGAGCATTTTATGTATACTTCCTTGTGACAAGTGGAAAAAACTTTTAAACAAAACAAAGTCTTTATGATGGAATCATTTTCCAGTAAAGGAAATAGTGTCAGGTTGGTGATCATAACATTGTTCTTCTCTGGGAAAGAATGAAAAGCAGTTTAAAATAACTACTGTTGGAAGCTAATGTGTTTTGTTAAATTAGGAAAGAATACCTATTTTTTTTACTTTATCACAGTCCCTCCCCTGTTTGGTTGTCTGTATGTTATTTTGTCTCAAAACATCTTATATTTGTTCTCCAAAGGTAAAACAGTCCTTTTTTTTTTTTTTTTAAATACACATCAAAAACTCAAATCCACTCAAATCCACACCAAAACTCAATCCAATAAAACTGCCTCCTTAAATTTTCATGAGATTTTAAATGGTTTACAGTCAACTGCATCTGTAGCTAAATGTAAGTTCTTTAGCATGGCACTTAGCCTGTCTGATCCAGGAAAACTAACTTAAACCGGTATTAAAAAAATAGGGATTATAAAGGCTTTGGTGCTGTCAAAAGAATGTTAAAATAAATAGCAATAAAAAGCTTATTAGGCAGAATTCCATAATTAAAAAAAAAAGTTTGTATTGTGCTGTTCTCCTCCTCCTCCTCCCCACCCTTAAAGTAAGAGTGATTTAGGTGGGAGAAAAATCAAGTGATTGATTCGTAGTTCAACGCAAAAGCATTTCGTTTCATAGTCTTTCTGTGGTGCATTTTTTTTAAATAACTGTGAGATACTTATTTTTAAGGCGTTAGCTTTCTCTTTTTTGTAGTACTCCATCGCAACAAATCATATTAATAGTTATATAATCTGTGGCATTTCCATGTGCCAATAAATGCTAGCCGTGAAGAAACACCAAAACTTTACCTTGTGTGTATGTGGAGGGGGGTGTGTGTAAAAACCTTCTGGAAACTATTAAAGGGATATGTGGTAACTAAGTCTTTACAGATAGCCCATATGCGTTCTTAAAGTGTTTCGCTTTATAAATTTAATATTAGGCAAAATAATATGCAAGGAGAACTTTGGGCGCTCTGTATATTCTCAGAGAGATTTAAGGAAGTCCACCTTCAACTAAATCTTCTAAACACTAAAACCAGTATCAGATTGTCATGCTTTCAGTCCTGCCTAGGAAAACTATTTTACTGAAAACTTAAGGATGGTTTGTGTCAGCTTCCTCCCTTCTGGAAGGGGAGGCACCTGAATGTCTGAACTGAAAAGCACGCGTGTCAGATCCAGGATGTCCAAGGCCGCAATGCTTACATTATTCTCTGAAACAGGCAGCACTGAGTTTTTTTCTTCCTCCTCCTTTCTTACTTTCTCTCTTGTGTACTTCTTTCCTTACTTCTCAGTAATAAACCCAGCAAAAAAACTAAAGTGAGTTAGAGAGAGACCCTGTAATGGTTGCTTAAGGATTTTCCTGCAGTCGCTGTCAGGTGGAATACTGGGCTAGATAGATTATTGGCTTAGGCCAAATTGGGAATTAAGCGGACCAGCTTCAAGCTGCGTTTACTCGGCTAACTTTTATTTGAGAGAGAACTTTCTCTCATCATCAGAATACAGGTATGGCGAAAAAAAGTGTCGTAAGGAGTAGAGATCTGATAATGCCTCCCCGGCTTCTGACTGATATCCTGGATGGGACCTGAGAATGTGTTACTTGTGAGCAGTGTGAGGCTGCCAAAACCACTGGGCAACTATTCCAGTTGGCCTGCTCTCCCGCTCAATTGTAGGTCTTCACTGGAAAAAAAAATTATGCGTTTAGTTGTCTAGCTGAACACTTCCAAAGAAAATCTGTTTGAATCCAAATGCATGTTAGAGGATGCATTAAAAATGTAACGATTATTTCAAAATAGTCTTAAGTAGCTCCTTAATGAAAACTAGAACATTTGCACAACTCCCTAAGAAGAACTCAAGGATAACAATATTCTGCAGCCTCTTTGGGAAGGGAGCTATCAGTACCTGAAGTAAGAACTGGGGTGTGTATTTGTTCCCTAGAAAAGAATGAGCGTGCCTAGGTTTTCTGGTTTCAGAATCAGGTGGATATAAACATGGATATGAAAGCCTTGGATTATGAGATCGTGCAGTCCGTATCAGAGAGGCAACATCTCGTTACGTTAATCTTACTCTTTTAGTTACAGGTGTGATCATGTAACATTGATCAGTTATGCCTCTGGTTGCCACACATTGTAGAAATCATTGAATACCCTGCAACCGTATAGCAGCGTTTCAGCCTGAGCTGATTTTTGCTATAAACTCATGCATGGACAAAGTTACTATAGTAACTATTTGAGATGTATTACAAAGTGCTCTATTTAATCAGCCAGTTCTCTAAAATAATGCTGAAAGGTAATTGAAGTCGTGTTTTGTTACTCTGTGCCTAGTGAAAGACATTAATCATCGCTTTTTATTTTTGATTTTGTGATACTTTAAAGTAGAAAAATTACTACATCATGGGTCAATATTACTACAGTATTCAAGCCACAGTGATTTTTGTTTTCCTGGACTCAGGATGCAAAACATACCATAAAATCAGAATTTGAAATTTATGTATGATTGGAAGAATTAAACTGCAATGGTGTGAAACTGTGAACAGTCTTGTCACTATGCTTTAAACCTGAAAAGAAATAGGACTTAAAATACAAGTAAGATTTCCCAGATCATAAGCGATTGAGACTGTGAGCCTCAACTGGCATATGGTATGAGGTAGCTTCAGTAATACTAATATGAAATACGGTGGCTGGAGAAATGTCAGAAACAGCTCATCTCACTTCTGAGCCTCACTTTACAGACATGTGGAGGGCCAAATAGATTGTAGATGGCAAAATAAGTGCATCTGCTTCTGTTATAAAACTACCTTATTTTAGATACGCTAGTGATAAGATGAAGGAGCAGTTAGGTGGTCAGACAGTGTTCTTACACTGAACGGTTCATGCAGAGGTTCCTCTCTCTGGGTTTGTTGTCCTGAGACCTTCTCAAAGAGCTTAATCTCTGAAATTTAGTTATGATTCTTTAATAAGCCGGCTGTCTTTTAGTGAGCTGAAGGAAGTTGAAAGAATCAAGTCATCTCTTTGAGTGGTATATAGGATATAAGTCATACCCATTTATTTAGGAATTAATTGGGCTTATTGGTGTTACATTATCACTTACTGTGCTGTGGTTAAGCTCTTAAGTTCTTTTTGCCAAAACACAAGCTAGAAATCAGTGCCACATTTGAAACTTATCTTCTCAGATACAATCGGAAGCTTGCAGTTTCTCTTGTTAGTTCCTGAGGATAGTGTTTTTGACATGCAGCTGACTGGAAGGACTTCTTACCTTTGTCTTGTCAGCAGCTCAGCTGGAATTCATTTAGAATACAAAAGAATGAATATTCTGGTTTAAAGTGGTTGGGACCAGGAACTTTACTACTGCGTGGCTCTCAGGATGTGCATCTCTATGGGTTATAGATGATGTATTTCGTTCTATAATGGGTTGCACCATCTCATTAATTTTGGAAAACAAAAAATGGCTCTTCTTTCTTCAGTTGTTGAAAGAAAAATGGTTTTCCGGTTGTTGGTAGCCAATTAGAACTTGGATAGTTCTTTTTCTTCTAATAATTACCTTTTAATGCAGTTGTGCAGAGCATTTTCTCATGAAGGCTTCGTGAGCATGTGTATTTCACCTTGCCAAACTTTCACAAGGGGAAACTTGTATACAGTACTTAAATACTATATATAATATTTTCATCAACTGAATTATATTGCTATAAAAGTGTTCCTTGTACACCATCCTTAATTACCAGAAGTGTAAACTTTATGATGAGGAACTCCTCTGTCCACCACTATTTAAGGCATTACTCTTTCTTTTCTATGGCTGAAAGTCATGTAGGTTACTGGTGTCCTAATCCATTTAACTGTATTTCTAGTCCAGATGTCAGAGCGTTTCTTCAGATGGATAACCCAAAACACCAGTCAGATCCATCTGAAGATGAAGATGAAAGGAGCAATCGGAAGGTAATAAAACAGAAGTACAACGGTCTTCTACGTTTTAACAACTTGAGGGCAATATTAAGTAGATTATTTACTGAAAATTGCAAGCTGGTTTCACAATAAATCACCTCTGTGTTTTTTTTTTTAAGCAAAACTGTTTCACTAAGGGCTGTAAGATACTTTCCTTTCAGATGTGAACTGCAGAGAGGGGTAAGAGTGACTAGCTAGCTTTGTCTCACTTCTTCCCTTCTTATTCTTCCCCACATACTGCGGGTGAAATAAGCACAGCTTTCGTCATAGCTTAGCTCTCAATTTTTCAGTCTCTTCAAAGATTGAAGAGATCTTCAATCTTTTGATTGAAGCAGGAGGGATTCGATGTTTGTTTGTTTGCTTCTTTCTTTAAGGAGGGCAAGCAAAGTAAATCTCTAGCCAAAAAAAAACAGATTTTCTAGAAGTCACTCGGGAGCAAAGATGGATTTGACTTCAGTTCACATGTAAC